TTAGACTTGCGTGGATGATTGATTTAGAGCCCCGAGGGCTCGGATGAGTTTCAGACATGTTTCAGAATGGATTGCATTGAAATTGAAGTGCTGGTGTTGTTGGTGCCCAGTTATCGCAATTGTGAACACCAGCCTCGCAAATTGCGAAGGTGATAGTGGGGTTTCAAATGTCGTAATTTCAACTACCCCTTCTCATTTGCGATGTCAGCAGGAGTTTGGCTTGGTTTGCATTTGCGAACAATGGTTCGCTTTTGCGATGATGTCTAGTTCGCAATTGCCAAGGCTCTTCTCGCAATTGCAATGATGCATGAGGCTATCAGGGTTCACAAATGCGAATCCTGGTCCGCAATTGCGAGGATTCGTAAAATGCGAACCCTGGGTCGCAAATGCGCAACTGCAACAGGTACAAAGGGCTGGGAGACGGGATTTTTCAAAGTATTCTCTCATTTTCGAATCCTAGACTCGGTAGGAGGCGATTTGGAGAGGGAATTTTTATCTACAAACTTTGGGTAAGTGATTCTAATCTATTTCTAATCATATTTCATCAACATATCTTAGATTTTAACATCAAAATAATGTGAATCTACAAACTTTAAAGAATGATTTTCTTTTTGATAGGATAGTGTCGTGAATGGTTGATATCACAGATAGAGAGTATAGATGACAATGATGTGGAATCGATCATTACGGATACATGAGGTGATGTAATTGGGGAACAATTACAGAAAGGACATGCTCGACTATTGATTGGCGGTTACTTGGAGATATCAAAGGAATGTGAACGTTTGAGCGAAAACTGGAGCGAGAATTGCTCCCGTTTGAAGAACGGTTACCTTGGGAGTTACCTGCAATGCTTAAAATACAACGAATACGGGAAACATATACATAACAGTCATAATATCATTGATGCGAGTGTGAATTTAAACATGATGCGAATTACCTTTGTACCATGAAAGATGTCATTGAACGATGCGAATAATGTCCTTAGACCATGACGTTCTGGGCCATGAAACATATAATAAAGGGATTCTCAAGCCATGAAATGGTATCCTCAAGCCATGAGGATGGTGCCTTTGGACTATATTGCCTTTGAAAATGATGTGCAATTTTGAGATCCTCAAGCCATGGAATGTTATCCCCAGGCTATGGAGATGATTCCTTCAGAATATGATACCTTCGGATAATGTGGCGATAATTCAGCCCATAAAATGCAAGGATCTGGTGATACTTGACTGTTCAATAAAGAAGATATGCTATGCTTAGCCGTATGCAGATGATGAAGACAGTTCTTAGTCTTATGCAAGAATGGAGGAAGGCAGTGCTTATCCTTTTGCGAGTGGGGGAGTCGTGCTTGGTCTGATGCAATAGTCGGGGCAATACTTAGCCCCACGCAAGTGTGGAGCCAAAGCTTAGCATCATGCAAGTATGAGGGCAGTGCTTAGCCCTATACGAGTAATGAGGGCAGTGCTTAGCCCTATGCACATAATGATGACACTGCTCAGCCCTACGCGGAGGAAGGCAATGCCTAGCCTTATGCAATGATAGAGGCAGAGCGTAGCTTCATGCAACATTGGGTCCTTTTGACCTTGAATCGGACGAAATATACCTTCCACAAATAGAGCAGTACCAAATATCATAGTGCTTGAGTGATGAGCACCCAGAAAGGTGAGGGCATCTTTGATGAAAAGGAAAATAAAAGAGGGGTGTGAGAGACGGCCCTTGTGGCTACTAGGGTTAGTAGAGGAAATGAGAGACGGGAGGGGATAGGCAGCAGGTGAAGGGGCAGTGAGCTAAGGTTTGGGGGTTGGGTAGATAAAAATAGGAGGATCATTATGGGCCGTTAATCATTTGAGATCAACGTCCGAGAATTAAAGGAAATTGGGCGGGTCAATGGATCCCCAACCGGGTATTTGAGAAAAGGGGCCGTCTGGTTAGGCTTGGGCAATTGGGTATGAGATTTTAGACCTCTTTTGGGTCCAAAATTAGCTTGGTTTGGGATGGATTTAAATATATGAAAAATTAAGAAAAAGTATTAAAAAAAATTACTAACAAATATATAAAAATACTCTTTATGCAATTAAATACTTTAAAATAATGGCTTAGGATAATAAAAATATAAAAAACTTATTTTGATCTGTATAATATAATAAATATAATTACTATAAAAATATGGTCTATTATTGTAAATAATATGTAAATGATAAAAAAAATACAAGTGCAATTATATGAAATGATATAAAATGTCATGAAGTATGCATAAAATGCTAAAATATAACTAAGCGATTTGGGCAACTGATCGCTCCTGAATAAATTTAAGGAAATAATAAATAAACTATTGATCACTTATGAATACTAGAATCAATTTAAATATATTTATAATATGGATTTTTTTTTTTGTAAATCTTCATGATAATAATTTTAAGAGTTCCATGAAGGTAATAAATTGATATTTAAACATATAATGGAGTAATAATGCAGAAAATATTCGATAAATAATACTAAAAAAATACATAAAGATACATTATAAAATATACAAACCCATAAAGGATAAATGAAAATCATGAGGGAAAAATTGAGTATCAAAGAAAGATACTTTCCTTCAAAAGGAAATAAAGCTGGTGATAAGTTACAATGATCTGTTTTGATTTGTTTGGTTCAATAAAAGTACATGTAAGAGGTAGTTTTGGGTAATTTTGTATCGTTCAGAAATGATTACTCAGTTTATTAATATATTTATTTGATGTTTGTAATTCTAAACGTTTTGAGTAATTCAAGGAGTTTAAGGCTTGAAACAGAGGAGCGCCATGGGAAAATATTAAGCCACTATGATTTGATCGCGGTGGAAAGCACTTCTCTAAAGAATTGATTAGTTACTTATTAGAATAAGGAATTACATCTCAATTGTCTACGGAATGTGGATTGAATTTAAGCTCAGTCTGTGAAATATTAGAATATAGGATTGTCCAGCACGTGTGCTAAAAGGAAAAACAGACAAGTTGAAATTGTGAATGGGTAGGTGCATGTATATAGAATATCCAAGAAAATGATGAAGCTTCTTTTATTATCCTAAAGAATTTAATACAATTATTAACCCACATGTCAATTTGCTAGATAAGGACTACTTAATAAACTATGTACCTATAAGTAAAAAAGTTTTAGAGGAACTAGGCAAAGAAATAAATAGATTTTCAAGAACACCAAACTCACACGTCAGATTTGATGTTCCATTGCATTCGTGTAATCGAAGAAATGCTAATAGACAAAGTATGCCTATATGTAGTGGGAATGATGTTTGAACAGTAAATACTATACTAAGAAGTCGTTAATATTTCATTGCCGTAAGGTAATGAAGGTGATATTAGTAGTACTTCGTCATAGTAAGAAAATACTAAGAAAAATCATAGTTTGATATACACTCTTGAGATAGTTCCAATGTCGAGTTTAATACCAAACTAGATAGTTTCGACAAAGCATACTGGACAAAAATTGTATCAAAAAATAACTTAGCAAGATTCTTTAACAAAAGCTTATTGGAAAAGACTTTTAATTGTCATGTAAAAAGAATGCCTGAGAGGTTGTATATGCATTGTTATAAGTCTAAGTAAGAAATTGTTAGGGCATATACTATTAACCATGCGTTTAAATATAGTATATTCTAACAATTGTCATTGTTAAAATTCTAAATGGGAGATTGCTGAGATATAGACTACTATTAACCATGAGTTTGGTTTGGATACAGTATGTATTATAAAACAATTGTTTATTCAATTTTAACAAAATTAAATAGATCATATATTCGTCCGTGTCCTTTGCTTATATAGTGGATGATTTAGTGTATAGAGTTAGCTTATACGGAAGATCAAATCAACGAATTTTATAAGTTATAAGATTATTTTCACAATCTAATGATGGAATTGGACAAACCATCAGGAATAGTTGTAGCACAGGATTATATATGATTTATCTTGATTATTGTAATGATTTACTTTCGACTTCTGTGCTAGTACATTTCGTATGTAATGAACGGATCAGGTAGAGATAAGTATTTTGTACTCTTTTCTTTTCAAGCTGAGTAGAAATTTCATAAGAGGAGAAAAGTCCACAGAAGGTTGACTTAATAAAATAAATTCTCTAGTCATTAAATGAACTTATACTTTTTTTCTTGATATAATTATTATTAGATGTATATTATTATTGTTTTAGTTTATTAAAAGACGAGATTCTTTCGTGGGTCAATATGCCTGGTAAATTGGATAATGATAATGTATATTGGTGGAGTAATAGTTAGTTGTTGTATCCATGTCTCGATTTTGAGATTGATGATACACTCGTATGCAAGTTTATAAGTTTTTATGTGTAAACCCGGCCGGTGAATTTTACATCCAACACATGAAATTATGTAAGTGAAAGTCTAAATGAGACGATCAACAAATTAAATTGTCAGTAATTTAATTTAGTTAATTAACATCTGAATCTTAACAAAGAGGTTAAATGAGAACTAATGGGTGGATTTTGAAATTGAATAAGGGGACTAATTTTTAGTGGAATAATTCGTAATTTATTCTAGTAGATATTAATTTCGAAAATTAGAAATTAATTTAATAGTAGAAAGCCTTGTTAATTAAATTATGTGGTCCCTGCTATGCCTAATAATAGGAAATAAAGAAAATTCTTTTCTTCGTGGAAAAAAAAATTTATCAGGTTTCGGAAAATAGTTTAACCCCTTAGAGGGTGGCAGGATTTTAGGCCCCTTTTTTCTAGAAAATTTTGCTCCCACGAAATTGCTATTTTTGAGTATTGTGCAGGCATCTCAGTAGACGATCGCGGAACGTTCGGGGATCGTGATAGCGCGTGTGATGGAGATTCCATTGAGACATTGAAACTGAAGGCTCATGTGACTGAATAGTTGGGTTCACGCTTCAATGGGTAACCGTGAAACATCGTATGCTCCAGTTATCTAGATTACATATGATATTGATACCAGAATTGCTTCGACGACATATTTTAATCCATCCCGAGGGACAATATTAATACTTAAATCTTTAGCACAGAACAATCTCAGCTAATACATCTCATGTTTTACATGCGTCTCACACACATATGTTAAGAGGAATACCCTCTTTTATTTCTCATATTTCTATCTATCACAATTTTATAATTGACATAACCAATCAAACGATGGGGCAGTACATAGTTTTTGAGAGGCAAACATATCTTACAATATGAGCTGCTTTGGCAATTTAGAGCTCCAGCACCAGGTCTACGAATCAAACAACAAAACAAAATCTGCTTAGTCACAAACATTAGTTTAGCCAAGTTGAACGTAGCAATAGTTTACTTTTTTCTAAACAACTATACCACATCTTGTGCAGGGAGAATTTTGTTGTTTTTCTTAATAATGGCTGTGCATCTTATTGAAAGATATCGTGGCTAATATTTTATAAGAAGAAGATATCTTTAAGGGAAAAATTAGAGATTTGAGAGTGAGGCATGAACTTACAATCTGCGTCAGTTTTGATCCAGCATTCTCGGTTCTCATCTAAATCACCATCTAGTGTGCACTGTTGCATATTCGACTGACCCTTGATGCTGTCCTTTGAGAGGCGGTGGTGAGGGATAATCGTGATATCTTCACGAGCAAGTGATAGTCTTCCACGGTCATGAGCCCTCTCATTTTTTGAGGACTTATCAGGCTTTTGTCCACCTGTTGAGCTCTCAGGATGGACTTTTCTGTGGAACATATGTAGGATCTGCATGACTTGCAAGTATTTTAGTTGGAACCTAAATATGTATTTGGATATAGTTTTCTATCGAAAGTAGTAACCATACTATTGATCAAACAGCTTTATGTGACAATACAAATTAAATCCTCAACGCTTAGATGATGGTGAACACAGCAGTATATCTGTTCATTTTGCACCAATTACAGAGGAAAAGATTAGCCAAAGCACGTACCTTATTGAGTTTTCTCTCAGCTGAAACTGAATCAACAGTTACCCCAGAAGCTACTGAGTTCCGCGAGGAAGCATGAAGCATCTTTTTCTTCAGTATTTTTTTCATGAGGTGGACAGCAGATTTATCAGAGTCCTTATCTGTTCGCTTCTCGCCCCTGTCAGATTTGGCTCCATCGTTTTCTTCGCCTAGTTTAGTCTTCTGAAAGAGCTCGCCAAGAGAAGGCCTGTGTTCTTTCTTAGCTGAAGCAGCAGGACTTGTCTCTGGCAATCCAACTGTTGATCCAAAGAGATAGCCTTGAAGTGGACAGACTGTCGTTCCATTTCCATTGTTTTCGCTACTATCAAATGGCTTGCCACTTAGTGTAATGGTACTACCTGTTGAATTTATAATTAAGCATTTAGATGTGTTTGGCTCATGAAAAAGAATCAAGGTCAAACGTCAAGGGGCATGTTGAATGTATAATTAAGTCGATAACAGCTTCAACATACCATGGCTGCTTCTCCCAGTACTAACATAGCTGTTTCTTCCTGAAGAAAGATTACAACCATCATCTTTAGCTTCAGTTCCCAGCACCTTCTCTAATTCATCATTGATCAGCTTCAATTCATTTTCTGTCACTTCTGTGTCCTTTTCAGCTATATTTTCCACGGAGATGGAAAATGTTGGTGTTGACGGATCATCAAGAAGTGGGTCAGTACCAAGTGTACCGATTGCAAGGAACCCATGGAAGAGCTCAGAAAGAGCAGCAGATGACTCTTCTTCATCTGACCTTGCTGCTGCCTCTAGACCAGCAAATGATCTTCTCTGATTCTCTCTTTGCTCTTTGCTCAATGGCTTATTGTAGAAATTTGGTTTTTGGTAGCCTTGTAAATCATCCAGTGATGGCTGCCCAGTAAGACAAGTACAAGGATTCCCTGACATAACACACTGTCAGGTTATCGGTTGTCTTTCTAGTACATTTGTGTAAGGATCAGTTACCTTTCTAATTATTCTAGATACGTTTCAGTATTCTGAGATTTCAGCTTTGTTACTTATTCTAGCTTGCATGAAAGCAATCATTCTGACACCTTTAATTTATTCTGCCTCTTCTTAAGAAAGAGTACATGGCAAGAAAAATATTGGGACAGAAAAACTTACCTACAGAAAAATCCTTGAATGGTTCACTGCTATTCTGTCGAAACTTACGATGCATCCAACCGAGTAACTGCAACAAAAGAAGGCATAATTATGGATATGAAAAAAAAAAGGCTTGGTTTACTTTGACAGAATATGGGTTACCTTCATCTTAAGGATAGCTGCACTGATTTTAATTTGAGGAACAAAATAACTGAAGCTTTAATTAGTTTTTGAGTTATATATAAAGAGTTTATTTCAAGTTGGCATAGAACACCTCAGGGGCAGCTTTCGGAAGCATACATGAAGTCACAAAGTTTGGGCTGGCTGTTTATTAATTCTTTCTTTTAAATTTCCAGGTAAAAATTGTGTGGCAAAATTATGGTTCTTTTACTTTGACCTTTTGGTGAATTTTTTTTATTTATCATAAACTGTAATGATGTATGAAGGTTTTTTTTTTTTAACTGTTTTATATTTTAATTTCTAACTGGAGCAAGTTTGATTATGGGTAGCTATCATCTGTTCTGTCCTACATAATATTTTGGCAAATGCAGATTGAAAGATTTGGCGTCTTGTAAACTTCCAGTGTTCTGAGATAATGTGTTTCTCGGGCACATCTCTTTGTATGCATGCAATTGCTCAACCAGACTTGACATGTCCATGCACGGATTTATCTGCATTATTATTAGCTTTCTTACCTAATAAAGTCATCATTTCAACTCATCGCACATATGCTGAATGATTAGGCTCCTTAAACTATAAAACAAAGAAAAATATACCAATTGGATGCTAGCAGTTCAAGATATGATATGATAGGTGGAAGATATTATTAGTCATTTATTTATTTTATCAGAGGAGATTAGTTTGTATATAATATAATACTATAATATAATAGGACTAATGAAACAGATAGATTTTTCTCTTGTGGTCATCTCCAATAGATCCACTGTCTTGCAGTGACTTTCAGAGTTGAAGGATTTAAGATGTCAACATGTTGCACCAAAAGGCGGACTTAGGATTCGACGATCACAGGAGTACTATTATATTCAATATAAATTTTATCACTGCTCATAAAGATTGGTAGGGGCCTCTGCTAATATTTGATTATTTCTTGAAGATATTTATAAGTATATATGAAATTTTTGCCGAAGTTAGTACCAATGATCCCTCTCCCTTCCATATACGTCGGCCTATAGTTGAACTCGTGTCACTAACGAAAAAACACTTTAGCTTATGTAAATTCTAACTTAATATTAGTTTTTGTCTATGGCCATTATAATATTGAATTGCTTCTAAATAGTGACTTTCCTCTTCTTCCTTTTTGTCGAGAATGCTGAGCGGGGATCTATTGGAATCGAACTCTTTATCTGCATAAGATAGGAGTAAGGTCTGCATATGCACTACCCTCCCCAGACCCCAATTGTAAGATTCTACTAGGTTTGTTGTTGTTGTTGTTATTGTTGATAAGCATTTTCTACGGGATCCCGAAACCACCAGCCACCCCGACCTAATTCATGATTAGCCCACCAAAGAATCTAACATCGGGACCACCTTTAAAGTTACCCGGTCTGGGTTCTAAGTCCATCTACTGTAAATGAATGACAACTTCAAAAGTATGGTCCTTTTATGAATTTACTTTATATACACAAACCATTGAAGAGGAGCCTTGTAATGCTAACAAATTATCGCGATGTAATCTTGAAATCACGCATTCAAGGCTTCACGCAGTAAAAATAGTCTCTAGCAGGAATACAAGGTAAAATTGTGTATATAGGACCCAATATGGTCCAGCTGTTCATTGGATCGAGCGCATAATGTGTGCTTAGTGCATCGAGCTACCTTTTTTTTACACTAACATTGTAAAGTATTTTAGGATTTTTACAATCATTGTTTTAACCAGTTGTAATTTGCAAATTCAGGTTACTAATCCTACTTTTTATGGACAATCACTAGTAGTTACAATTTTCTATATATGACTTGATAGTACAAAAATTATTTTACACTATTAGGTGTAAAGAAGTAAAACTATTTGTTTTATTATAATGACCCGACCGGTAATTTTGAGCATTTGCATTCAGTTCGGTGGTTTGAAGTCATCAGTAACTTCTCATGATGTGTTATGACTTGCGTGTATGATCGATTTTAGTCTTCGAGTTGTTCGGAATTGATTTGGAAGAATAATTCTTAAATAGAAAGCTTTAAGTTGGAAGAGCTGACTAAGTTTGACTTTTGTGTGTTTGACCATGAATTAAAGTTCTGATGGTTCCATTAGGTTCGAATGGTAATTTTAGACTTGGGCATATGCCCGAATTTACATTTGGATGTTTCTAGAAGGTTTTGGCGCTAATTGGCGAAAGTTGGCAATTTGAAGTTTTGGAAAGTTTATAGGTTTGACAGAGAGTTGACTTCGATGTTATCAGATTCGGATTGTTGTTCCAGAAGTTGGAATACGTTCTTTATGTTATTTGTGCAAAATTTGAGGTGATTCCGAGTTGTTTAGACGTGTTAGGCGTAAGTTTGGAATTTGAAAATTCGAAATGGTTCATTAAGCTTGAATCGAGTTGTGATTCGTAGTTTTGACCTGTATTGACTGTTAAGCTTTAAGTTGTGATGTTTTTCATATTTGCAACCTTGTTATGAACTATTTAATCCATGTTCGAGATTACATAGAGTCTATTTCGCTGAATGAACTTGATAATCATTATTTCTTTGATAAAATTACTGTTTTGAACTATGATAGTACATGTTACACATGCTTGCACTTTAGCATGTCATTATACCACTCCAGGAGCATGAAATCTGATATTCATTCATCATATACATGTATTCTTGTATAATTGCTTCTGTGTGATGTGATTTGGATTGGATGCCTGTGACCACATCGAGCGAATTGTTTTGTTATGCTTGTGACTACGTCGAGCGAATTGTGCTGTTATGCCTGTGACCACGCCGGGAGGATTATGTTGTTATGCCTATGACTACGCTAGGTGGATTGTGATATAGCTTGTTACCACGCCGGACAGATTGTGATATTGAGCTTATGACCATACTGGGCGGATTGCACGTTGAATTGGCTGTGCTGCATGTGGATATGGATCCATCCCCCTAGGGTCACCGGCCTCTCATGTGCCTTCTTGATGGTATACACGTCTGGTTGAGGTGAGCTCTGGGAGAGCTGGTTACTAGTTATGTTTGATAACTGAGATTCTGATGTGGGCCTGAGAGCCGTGATGTAACTTTTATTTGGATCGAGTTGCGCGCCGCAATGGATGATATTTGACTATTGCATTTCTTCTTTATTTGCAATATTCCTTGGCTGTTTATCTGATTTATTTGTATATCTTCCCTAATTGCTATATTGTTGTCTGAACATAGTAGGTTAAGGATATTTTGTGCTCCAAGGTGGTCTATCAATACTTTCATGATACGTTCATTTATTATTCTGTTCTAGTTGGAAGTTAAGAACTATACAGGAGATTGCGAGTATCATTTATAATTCTTGCTTTTATTATCTCGCCTTAGTTAGTTATGATATTTATTGAGTACATGAGGTCGGTTGTACTCAGACTACACTTCTGCACATTGCCTGCAGTTCTTGACTCTGATGCTGCTATGCATGGCGGGAGCTGGCATTAAAAATGTACATGCGTCCCAGTTATAGCTACCACTTGCCTTGGTAGTTTTAGATTTCAATTTTATTTATGTACATTCCAAACAGATATTGTATTTTTTCACACCAACATTGTAAATCTAAGTCTTATTAGTAGTTTGTGACTTATACTACCAGTCCTTGGGTTACTATATAAAGTTTCAGTTGTTTCATATATTGGTCCCTTATTATTCTCAATTGAATTGTGTTGACTGTTAGTTAGCTTACTTGGCGAGTTGGGTTAGGTGCCATCACGACTAGTAGATCAAGAGATTTATTCCTTCAGAGCATAACAGACACATGGAATTAGAAATGCAATAAATTTGTAGTGTTTGTCTGCACACTGTAGTCCTGTGGAGCTCAATCATCACCAGAAACTGCCAATGAAACAGGTAGCTTGCCCTTTGTATCATACGAGAACAACCCTCTTGCATTGTTCCCTGGAACTTTCAACTGTTAAAAGAGAAAATGTTGTACACGTTGATGGTAAATATTTGATGCATTTTATAATCTACCAGTGTATACTTTATAAAGAAGAAAGTAATGGGAGAATAAGAAGGTAAGGACAAACAGTTGTAGCAGGTTGCATTTCTAATTTTTCAGGTTATTTATCCTTCTTATTAAAGTGGTTTTCTTTTGGATGACCAGATAGTACAAAAATTAATTTGCAGTATCAGTTTAGATAAGTTATACTCTTTCTATTGAAGTCTCTCACGCACTCTAATATCATCTGGATCAAATTATCTATATGCATTCTTCAGGACACAACATGAAGCCTAAGAAATAAGAAATTTATGTTTCCTGTATGTTAGTATAGGATTGTAACAAATGGAAATTCTTCAAATGAGGGTGTTTTGCATATTAGAAATGGAGGGAAATACTGCTAGATCAGAAGTGTTTTATGTTTCATTTGACTATGGAAATTTGGAACCTACTAACTTGGAACTTTTGTGTGTCATCCGAACTTTTGAGTACAATGCCCTTGTGATAGTAAATTTATAATAGGTCGCAATCTTGATTTTCTTGTTGAAATTGATTTACGCCGATAATAATTAATACGGTCCAATCTTGATTTACTGTTGACTCAGATAGAATGTCACATGATTCAACTATCCTTATTGTATCATTCTTGGTGTTCATATATAGGAGAAAAGTGTCCAACTAGACAAGAAAATGTAAACAAATAAAAAAGCGGTGGGTGGAGGAACCCAGTGTCAAAGTTGGTGTACTCGTTTTAGAAAGCAACGACAAGCTAGAATACAATGTTAACTATTTTTCCTTTCCTCTGATGCGACTAGAACCAACTCAACCACGGATAATTTACATAGATGCATATGTTTGTCTTTGCGCTAGAATTAAATTGAGAATTACCGAGGGCAGCCCTCCCATTTGGTCAATTGCAATGACAGAAATTGGGAACAATTCCCGAATTGTAGCTCCAAATATCATAGTGAGGTCTAGTCGAGCTTATTTTTCTTACTTTATTGATGGACTTAACTTATATGTACGGATAATACAAAGAATTTTGACACTAATGTATTTTAAGTTGTAGCAAGTTAGTTACTAATCCTACTTATTATGTAAAGTTACTTATAATTTATTTACTTTGAAAATGGTAATAACAATTAGTTTTGATTTTGTGGTTCTAAAAATACG